TTTGGACCCCCAAGTGTTTAGGAACAGAATAAGGCCAGATAGAATTCTGGCTACTCCCAAGGTATAAGGAGGTCTTCTAAAGAAGTAGAGATTTGAAAAGAAAGTGAAAAGTTAAAGAGATGATTAAAATGTAGAGAACAGTGCTGGAGAGATGGCTCAGAGGTTAAGAGCACTGGCTGCTCTTCCACAGGTCCTGAGTTCAATTCCCAGCAACTACATGGTGGCTCACAACCATCTGTAATGAGATCTGGTGTCCTCTTGTGGTGTGCAGGTAGAACACTGTACAAATAATAAAATCTTAAAAATGCATCATTATGTAAGAATGGATATTTAAGTAGGACTACAGGCCATTAGTCCTGCAATTCATGGGGCAGAGAGAGGCAGATCTCTGAGTACAGCCTGATCTACTTGGTGAATTTTAGGCATGCCAGTTGTGAGACCCTGTTCCTGACACACACCAGGTGGTGGTGCACACCTTTAATCCCAGCACATGGGAGGCTGGGGGAATATCTGTGAGTTCAAGGCCAGTCTGGTCTACAGAGTGGGTTTCAGGGCAGCCAGGGTTATATAGAGAAACCCTGTCTTGAAAAACAGACAGAAAGACAAAAAATCCGAATTATTCAAGCAAAGAACTTGGTAAGTGATAGTCCATTTTTCTTTAAAACCTATAGACTGCTATATGCCACACAGTGGCACACACCTTTAATCCCAGCACTGTGGAGGCAGAGGCAGAGGCAGGTGGACCTCTGTGAGGTCAGTCTGGTCTACAGAGTAACCTCCAGGACAGCCATAGCTACAGAGAGAACCTGTCTCAAAAAACAAAACTACATATATTTCACTCGGTATTTTTAATATGTAGAATTGTACAAGCTAAGGTATGACTGTACAAATTTATATGATCAAAGAATATTCAGTTTCAACTTTTGACAGAAGTCCTAATTGGCATAGAACTTTCCAGAGGACAATTTGGGGCATTCAGGGTGTATGTATGGGGGGTGGGGAGTGGCTGGTTCTCTCCTACTGTGGATCCTCAGGATTAAACTCAAGCCATCAGGCATGACATTGAGTACATTTAATCACTGAGTCAAGTCATTGGCCTCTTTTATATTTGTTTTTAAATAGAATTTTTATTATTTTTGATTTGTGTGTATGCTGGGTGTGGTGATGCACACCTTTATTCCCAGCTCTCAGGAGGTATAGGCAGACAGATCTCTTGAGTTCCAGGCCACCTGGTCTACATACAGAGCTCAGGTACAGCCGGAACTACATAGAGACCCTGTCTCAAGAAAAGAAAGTGTATATGTGTGTGCAAGTGCTCATGAGTACAGGTGTCTATGAGGCTAGAAGTGTTGTGTCCCCTAGAATGGGAGTTAACAGGTAGTTATGAGTGCTCTGCACCAGTGCTGGGGACTGAACTCCAGCCCTCTCTAAGAGCAGTACTCTCCTGTGACTATCTCTCCTCACTTTCATACTTTTTTACCTGGGTTCTGGAAATTGAGGTTTGCTTGTAAGGCTTGTGTGACCAGTGCATTTACCCACTGAGCCATCTCCCTGGCTCACATTTTGTTATTTTTGGGTGTGATCTCTCATGAGGATCTAGGGCTCACCAATTTGTCTATGTTGGCAGGTCAGGGGGCGCAAGGTTGGCTTTGTCCACCTTTCCAGTCTTGTGATTACAAGTGTAAGTCACAATGCCCAGCTTTTCTATTTGAGTTCTGAAGATGGCACTTAGGTAATCAGGCCTGCTGGCATGTCTTTACCTGATGAACCATCTTGCTAACCCAACCCCATGGAATTTTCTGATGTGATATGTTAAATCCAATCCTTTTCATGGTTATGTGTGGGGGAAGATGTGTCTGTGTCATCGAATGCATCTGGTAGCAGACAGCAACTTGCAGGAGTCAGTTCTCTTTCTACTTTGTGGGTTCTGGGGATGAACTTGGGCTGTCAGGCATAGGCAGCAGGTGCCTTTACCTGTATCTCACTGGCTTTTTCCACATATTTTAAGGTGTATATCATCTACAGTATATGAAAACACTTAGCATGTTTTAAATTTTAACGTTGTGTAAGCAAAATTTTACCAACAGTGTTTTCTCCCTACCATATCACTTTTGTGACAGGGCACATCCTTGGCCCTGGAAGATGAAGAGGTTAGGTTGAGCTCTCCTGTCTTTTTTTTTTTTTTTTAATCAATTTAATTGGTCTATGTATTTATTATTAGGTATAATTAGTGCATCGGGACAGAAAGCTCACAGGCTACTCAGTTTCACAAGATACACTTTGGGGAAAAGAAAGTCTGGTATTTGCCAATAATATCCTAGGGTCTTGGTGGACACATTCCTGAGGAAGAGGGTCTCATTCCTAAAGAGGGCATGCTTATTATGGTGCCCCTTGATCAAGGGAAGGCAACTGGTGGGCCCGTGGGAGATCTCAGATCATCTGAGGAGCCATAACTCTTGGTGGTGGGGTCCCCCTCTTGGTTTAGGACCATGATGGGAGCTCAAGCAATTCTGGCAGTCACAGCAGCAGCTGCTACAGTCTCTCTTCTCTGTGGTGTCATTACCTACTGGGATGGACCTGCAGCTACTCAGACAGGTCCTTCTAGGAATTGGGCACTTTAGCTGGATTCCTCTGCTAACTATTCTCCTAACCCCAGGACCTCCAGTAGGAGGAGCAAAAGGCTTCCAAGCAGTGCCAGTATCTTTAGAGAGTAGTTTTCATAATAATGAATACCAAGTTCTCCACACATAACACCAGACTTAAAACTGTTTTTCTTCATACTCTGGCTGTATAGCATCCTGTCATGACTGCTGTTTCACAACTGTTTGTTGTTGTTTGTTTGGTCGGTTGGTTAATTGGTTTTTCAAGACAAGGTTTCTCTGTGTTCACAGTAGCTACTGTTTTAAGGATGAAATTTCAAGAACTTTAATATCTAGGGAGGATATAAATGAAGATGTGATGTATGTTTCTTAAGAACAATGTAAATGGGGCTGGAGAGGTAGCTCAGAGTTAAGAACACTCTCACTAGCTGCTGTTCAATTCCCAGCAACCACATGGTGGCTCACAGTCATCTATAATGACACCTGGTGCCCTCTTCTGGCCTGCAGGTGTACATTTAACAAATACATTTTTTAAAATGTAAACTTTGTAGAAGCTTTACCAACCATGGATGGGTCCTTGCTTGCTCCCATCATATTGAAAATGGCTCTTCAGAACCACTCAAGACTGCTTCTCCTCTCTGCCTTACCTTTTTTTTTTTTTTTTTTTTTTTTTTTTTGCCTGCAGGTAGTGGGCAGCAATCAGTGACAGGTGTAACCTCTGTGGATGACAGCAACAGTTATTGGAGAATACGGGGGAAGACTGCCACAGTGTGTGAAAGGGGAACCCCCATCAAGTGTGGCCAGCCCATCCGGCTGACACACATCAATACTGGTCGAAACCTTCACAGTCACCATTTCACTTCACCTCTTTCTGGAAACCAGGTGAGGGGGAATGCAATGGATCATTCCTGCAGTATTGGCCAGGGTTCTCTAGAGTCAAGAGAACTTACGTAATGAATCTATACATGTGAATATGTGTGTGTTTGTATGTATTTGTACATACGTATGTGTGTGTATGTGTATATATACATATATATGTTTTTACATGTATATATGTGTGTGTATATCTATATATACATATATATAACATATATATATAACATATATATACACATATATGTGTTTTTTACGTGTGTGTGTGTGTGTGTGTGTGTGTGTGTGTATGGGAGTTTATTGGAGTGACTTACAGGCTACAGTCCAACAATGGCTAGTTATGAATGGAAAGTTCAAGAATCTAGCAGCTGCTCAGTCCCATGAGGCTAGGTGTCTCAGCCGGTCTGCTGGGATACTGAAGAAGGAATGGATGTACTGACAAGGTGAGGCCAGGCAGGTGAAGAACAAACCCTTCCTCCTACCATTGTCCTTATATACACTGTCAGCATAAGGTATGGCCCAGGTTAAAGGTGTGCCTTCCAGCCTCAAGATCTGGATCACAAGTGTGCCCTCCATTTCTGGATTGTAGTTCATCCCAGACAACCAAGAATAGCTATCACACCTGCTTTGCCTTGCTCGGTTGAATTGATCTCTCTCTCGCTCCTTTTTTTTTTTTTTCCGAGACAGGGTTTCTCTGCTGTGGCTTTGGAGGCTGTCCTGGAACTAGCTCTTATACACCAGGCTGGTCTGGAATTCGTAGAGATCTGCCTGCCTCTGCCTCCTGAGTGCTGGGACTAAAGGCATGCACCACCACTGCCCAGCTTGTTTCATCTCTTGGTTCTTAATTCCTTCTTTCTTCCCTCCCCCACCCCCTCTCCTCCCTCCCTCCCTTACTTCCTTTTATAGGAATTTAACAGAGTCATTGTATCCCAGGTAAATATTAGAATGAACAGCTGTTTGTTAGAAGTTTTTTGGACCAGGAGGTGGCACATGGCTTTAATCCCAATACTTGGGAGGCAAAGGCAGGTGGATGTCTTTGAGTTTGAGGCCAGCCTGGTCTACAGAGCTAGTTCCGGGGCAGCTAGGGCTGTAACACAGAGAAACCCTGTCTTGAAAAACAAAAAACACAAACAAAAAATACTTTGACTTTGAAAGTATCCTTGTGAAAAACTGACATTTTTTTTTCCTGAGGGGGCATTGCAGCCATCCTAGACTTTGGTCACAAGATACCTCAGGCACACCTAAGGCTCTTAAATTATTATGTATTACAGGTGATAGATACATAATAAAGGATTAGAGTCATGGGGGCATGTGTGGCTCTCTTTTAGTAAGACATGTAAATTAGATTGGGGACCTTGGTATGAGAAAATACTTTGTGTAACAATCAATAAATACAATTGTGTATGGCTATTCACGATTCAGTCCCTCAGAGAGGCTAGACCTTCCTGCTGCCACTTAGGCATTAAAATTTCACCTTGGAATACCTTCTTTCTTCTACCAACCCATGCTATACGGTGTACTCTGACACTTCCTTTGGGACATTTCACAAATTTGTGTGTCCTCCTTGAGCATGGGCCTTGCTGATCTTGGTATCATTCTAATTTTAATGTATGTGTTACTAAAATGAGCACATTAACCCTTTTCTGTCTAGATATGGATGCTCTCTTTTCTGGAAACTTGGAGAAATGACTCTGTCTTATAAATGTGCCGAGCTATCTCTTAAGCTCCATCTCTTTGCTTCTTTTTAAAACCTCACCTGCTGTAATTTACCCCTGGAATTTAGTGAAGCAAATGTGCTACAGTTAACATAGCAATGTTGACAACATTATTCCTAATTGAAGTCCATTGGGTAGTCTTTATTTTAAATAATTTTATTTTTATTTTATATGCACTGTTGTTTCACCTACATGTATGTCTGTGAGGATGACATATCCTCTGGAACTGGGGTTACAGTTGTGAGCTGCCATATGAGTGCTGGCGATTGAACATGGGTCTTGTGGAAGAACAGCTAGTTCTTTTAATTAATGAGCCATCTCTCATCTTGTTTTAGTTTTGAGATTTATGTGTATGTGTGCTTTGCTTGCTTGTATGTATGTGCCACACATGCATACCTGGTGCCCTCAGAGGTCAGAAAAAGGCATAGAGTCCCCCAGAACTGCCATTACAGATGTTTGGGGATGCTGGGAATCCAACCTGGACTTCGCCTAGTGCCCTTATTTGCTGAGCTATCTCTGCAGCCCCCATTTCTTTTTTTCTTTCTTTCTTTCTTTCTTTCTTTTTTTTTTTTTTTTAACCTAATGTCCTTTTCTGTTACAGGATATACTTTTAGTTGTCATGACTCATTAGGCTCCTCTGGCTGTTACAGTTTTTAAGATTTTCCTTATTTTTACTGACTTTGACAGTCTTGAGGAATGCTAGTCAGGTGTATTATTAATGCCCCATCTTTGGAGTCTTAATGTCATTTTTTCTCATGATGAAAGCTATGAGGAAGACCTTAGGGTATAATGCCATTTTTATCACATCCTATCAAGGGTTCATTCTATCAACATGACTTATGACAGTAATTTTGACCTTGCTCACCTGGTTTCATTGGGTTTCTTTTGTAAAGTCATGCTTCTCATTTTGTCCTCTGTGAAGTCTCTGTCTCCAGTCCACACTTCGGTAGTTAGGAGATTATATTTCTTTACATTAGGCTAGAGTAGCTACATAAATTATATGGATTGGGTTGGGGTATGTTTTTCTCGATTCATTTATACCAGTATGAGTTCATGGATATATATTTTGTACTTTGAATTATAACCCAGTATTAACTGTCTTCATTTTCTTGTTCAAATTATTCCAGCTTTTGCCATTGGCAGTTCTTTCAGTTGACTTACACATCCATCCATCCATCCATCAGATAGAATCTGATCACATGTATGCACATACACACATGCATTTTAAAGCACTTGCTTATTTTCTGGCACTAAAAGATGCTCAAGGCCTTCATATGTATGCCATGGCGTGTGTGCATCCACACATAAGTGACATTTAAAAGGCAAACAGGAAAAAAAAAACTGTAAGAATAAAACACATGGCAGGTATAGTATTAATTTAAAGTTAGTTTTTGAGTCATAATCTAAGACAAGTTTCCTCTTGTCCTTTATGTCTTTTTAATCTTCCATAGTTTATTTCTTTTAAAAATTTGTTCAACTAGTAGGGTATGGTGGTACATGCCTTTTATCTCAGCATATGGAAGGCAGATGCAGGTCGATTTCTGACTTTGAGGCTAACCTGGTCTACAGAGCAAGTTCCAGGACAGCCAGGGCTACACAGAGCAGCTCTGTCTCAAAAAACCAAAACCTAATAGCAACAACAATAAAAAAAAAAAAAAAAACCCAAATTTGTGCAACAAAAACAACAGAAAGTTCCAGTTTGGTTTTTTGGATAATTTTACCTTCTCATTGACACCTTATTTTTTTTTTTGGAGACAGGGTCTCTTGTAGTCTAGGCTCACCTCAAACTGCCTATGTAGCTGGATGACCTTGACCCTCATCCTCCTGTCTCCACTTTCCAAATGTTAGAACTATAGGTGTGTGCTCTACCATTCTGAGCTCTATTCCTCCACTTTTCAGACCTGTCAGTATGTTAACGTCAGCACTTTGTTTCTCAGGAGGTGAGTGCCTTTGGGGAGGAAGGTGAAGGTGACTATCTGGATGACTGGACAGTGCTCTGTAATGGACCTTACTGGGTGAGAGATGGTGAAGTGAGATTCAAACATTCTTCCACCGAAGTACTCCTGTCTGTCACAGGAGAACAATATGGTCGACCTATAAGTGGACAGAAAGAGGTACATGGTATGGCCCAACCAAGTCAAAACAACTACTGGAAGGCCATGGAAGGCATCTTTATGAAGCCCAGTGAATTGCTGAAGGCAGAAGTCCATCATGCAGAGCTATGACTCTAAGTTGTCTGAGCCACTGTCACCACACAGTGTTTGTAGACATCTGTTGCCGCTTTACCCTGGGACCCGTGCTCCAGGCTCTGAGCAGTGGCTTAGGCCCCACTGAGATGAAGAGGCACAGGAGAAAACAGTGGCTGCTTTTAGACCTGCAGCCCTTCACACTTGAATTGTTGGTCTCCCAGATTTAGAGAGGACTTGTTTGTGAAGGCAGGGATCCTTTTCATTCAAACTGGTAAAAGATAAGAGAAGCTGAGGAACTTCCCTATTAAGCTGGGAAGTTTTACTCTTCAGGCATCAATGATTGTTAACGTGTCTGATTTTCCCTTCTTTTTCTTTTTCCAAAATGATAAATAAAAAAATAAGTAAATAGAATTTTAGTAATTGTGTGGTCATTTATTAGAGGGGGCTATTTCAGGAACTGCCTGCTAAATCCTCAAGTCCTAAGACTTTCAAGATACTGGGAATCTTCACCCTGGGCCATTTTACCAGGTTTATTTGCATGTGAGTACCTTCATTTCTTCCCCAGAAATCTTCATTACATAAGATCTTCAGATTTCAGCATAATATATAAACTAATGACCACTTCCTCTGGATCTGTTATGTGTTATAGAATATTAGTTTAAGATGTGTTACATTTGTTTATGCTGTTTACTTGTTTAACGATTGTATTTGTTTTACTATGTAAAGGTGTGTTACTCTGCTTGTGCAAAACACCTGATTGATCTAATGAAGAGCTGAATGGCCAGTTGCTAGGCAGGACTAAGCAGGCAGAGAGACTAAATAGGAGGAGAAATCTAGGTTTGAGGGAAGAGAGAAGAGTGAGGATTGAGAAAAGGAGAAGACACCAGGGGCCAGCCACACAGCTAGCCATGGAGTAGGGAAGAAAGAAAGAAAGACATACAGAATAAAGAAAGGTAAAAAGCTCAGAGGCAAAATGTAGTTAAAGAGAAACAGGATAATTTAAGTTAGAAAAGCTGACTAGAAACAAGCCATAAACTGGGTGTAATAAGTCTCCATGTATTTATTTGGCAGTAAAGAGGCAGGCTCCCCAAAGAGTGAAAAGAACAACTAAAGTTACTCAAATGAGAAAAGTAATACGGGTTAGCAAAACCATCCGTAATTCACTGTTAATACTAGGCACCATGTACGAGCCCTCCATTTCACCTCCACAGACTTGATCCAAACACTTAACAATGAAGAACAAAAAAACAGTTAACTGCCTACATTCTTGAAAGTAGTAAATAATTTTAGGACAGGAACTGTGTCTGGCCTGGTCTTTTTAATTACACTACAGTTTTGTTTACCTCTTGGAAGCCAGTTTTTTTCTTCCTGTTCTCAAATAGGAATATCTTTTTTTAAAAGGTTGTTTTGCTTGCTTGTTTGTTTCCCCCCTCCACACGGTTTCTCTGTTTAACAGTCCTGGATGCTCTGGAACTGGCTCTGTAGACCAAGCTGGTCTCTAATTCACAGAGATCCACCTGCCTCTGCCTCTCTAGGGCTGGGATTAAGCTCTGCCCAGCATGCTCTTCTCCCCCTCCCCCCAAGACTTTGGCTGCCCTGGAACTCACTCTGTTCAAAGAGATCTGATTGTACCACTTCCTGAGTACTGGGATTAAAGACATGCTCCATTACCATCTTGCTCCTATTTTCTTTAACTTGTCAGTGGTGAACAGAAGTGGCTGCAATCTGGTGGAATTTCCTTTTTGTTTTGTTTGTTTTGTTTTGTTTTGATACAGGGTTTCTCTATGTAACAGTCCTGGCTGTCCTGGAATTCATTTGTAGACCAGGCTGGCCTCAAACTGCAGTCTGCCTCTGCCTCCAGAGTGCTGGAACTAAAGGCTTTCTTTCTTTTTTAGACTTTATGTATATTAATGTTTGCCAGTGTACCACGTGCCCAAAGAGGCCAGCAGAGAGCATTGGATCCCTTGGGACTGGAGTTATAGATGGTTGTGCCTGGATACTGGGAATTAAACTGGCATCCTCTGGAAGATCAACCAGTGCTCTTAATTGCTAAGCTATTTCTCTACTCCTTTTTTTTCCTTTTGGAGGGGGTATATGTGTATGTGTGGGAGAGGGTGGGTCTCACTGTGTTGCTCTTTGGCTGACATGGAACTCCTATGTAGACCAGGCTATCCTCAAAACCACAGAAACCAACCCATTTCTGCCTCTTGAATCCTAGGATTAAAGGTTAATGCCACCATGTGCAACTTAATACAAGTTTTTTTTTTTCTAATTTTAGAATCTTATTGTTTCCTATTTGCTTTAAATTGTTAATGTGGAATATTTGCAAATAGTCCTTTTTAGGCATGGCCTATGATGTTAAGAATAAGAAACTTCAATTCTTTTGCAAAGAACTTGTATTCCAAGTAAATTCAATCCATGAATTAGAATTACATCTCTTCCCTGCTCCTCCTTGCTCTAATTTATTTTTGTTGTATTGATGCCTTGTATCTCTTCAGAAAGTAGAAAAATCATAAAGTGATGTGTGGTAGTACAGGAGAAAATAAAAATGATAAATTTGCCTAGGTGTTTGGTGGTGCACACCTTTAATCCTAGCACTCGGGAGGCAGAGTCAGGCAGAGTGAGTTCCAGGACAGCCAGGGCTATACAGAGAGAGAAAAAAAAAAACAAACAAACAAACAACTAAACTAAAACAAAAGAAAAAAAAGATTAATGTTATTAAGGGTT